TGGTGGATTTGTTTTTGGTGATATTGATACATATTCTTGTTATGAATATCATCTATCAAAGAGGGTTAGTGAAAAATGTCGAAAATGTAAACGTGAAAATACGAAAGGAAAGAAAATTATGAGAAACAAATATATCGAATAATTTATTACATGTCAGTAGAAAATTCAATGTTTTTATTTGTATTGGCCACCCGTCGACCAGCGCATTTTATTCTTCTGTGAATGAAGAAATTTTTTTAATAATAAATGTATATATATATTCTAAATGACCTCAACAACATGTTCTGTAAATAATTCATCTATCACTCAGCAGTTTGAAATATTGTTCGCTACATCAAATAAAGGCAAACCAGGGTGTGGGTGTGATTTTTACCTTTTCTCCTACCCACACCCGCACCCTTATTTGTATTTTAGCTTATAACATTTGATTTGCAACTAGATTGTCAAGAAAGCACCCGAATATTTGGAGCTTTATACAATTAATTCAAAGTGAACATGTTCGTTTTGAACATATTTTAACACAACTTGATGCTGGTGCATCAGCTCCACAACAATCAAAAAAAGCAGAGGCTTTTCAGATGAGACTTGATACTCTTCATGATCGATTTCTAAAGAAGGAAATCAACGCAGATGAATTATTATCAGGTTTAGCATTGTTAACTGAAAACAAAAAGAAATAAAATTTTATTATGCTGTTAGCATTGTCTCTTCTTTTTTTATTCTACATTAATAAAACATGGCATTTCTTATGCATTACAAGAATATAAATATGACCATTTCTATCTTTCTTTCAAGTTATTTAAGCTTTCGATATTTTCCTCTTTCGACATTTTCCACCAAGATCTATCAAAGTCTCTTAACATGTTAATACTTCATGTTGATTTTCGTCTTGCACCTGAATATTCTCTTGAACAAACTATAGAAGATGTAATTAATGTATATAAAGTATTACTTGATAGTGATTCTAATATTCATCGGAGATTAATTGGAATGGGTGATTCATCAGGTGGAATGCTTTGGATATATCTTTTACAATGGATCATATCTAATAATAAACCTCTTCTACAAGGTATTGTTTTACATTCTCCATGGCCTAATCTTGAATATTTGAATAATATTGTTAAATTCTCTACAGATCATTTTTTATCATTAAGACTTGCATATAATTTAAGAAAATTAGCAATTGGTAAAGATATTCATTGGGTTGAAGTGACTGATGAAGAACTAAGTAAAATAAATCCAAAAGATGATTTATTTCAAGGATTTCCACCATTGTATATAACAGCAGGTACAAATGAAATATCAATTGATGCAATTCGTGATATGACAAAGAAAATAAGATCTGCAGGTG